ATCAGCAGATTCTTTTGCAAAGAAAAACCTGGAGTTCTCATTAAAAAATTGACAAATATATAGGCATATACATTAGAAGTTTAAACTATAGGGGTGCCTGGTTGGCTCAGTCGGTTAATCAGTCGTGTGCTTTCTCTTAAGATCATGATCCCAGTGTCCTGAGATTGAGCCCCGCATCAGGCTCCCTGCTCAGCAGGGGAGTCTCCTTCTCCCTCTCCCTCTGCCCCTCCTCCTGTGCTCTCTCTCTCTCGCTCATTTTTCCAAAAAAATAAAATCTTTAAAAAGAAAAGTTTAAACAATGTTACTTTTGTGATTCCTCTAAGTACCTTTCAGTCTAACTGACCAAAACATTTGGAGCGATAACAGAATTGTGTATGTTTATGTATATATACAATTTTACATTTATATATGCACACACAAGCATTCACACACAGACACATAGACACACACATATGCATATGTACACATACTTACCTGTGTATATTATATATAATGTACATGTATACATACACAAACCCAAGCTGCATTGTTTTGAGTAATACTTTATGAAATTTTATTTTTTTAAGATTTTATTTATTTATTTGAGAGAGCGAGAATGAGAGAGAGAGAGAGAGCACATGAGAGGGGGGAGGGTCAGAGGGAGAAGCAGACTCCCTGCGGAGCAGGGAGCCCGATGCGGGGCTCGATCCAGGGACTCCAGGATCATGACCTAAGCCGAAGGCAGTCGCTTAACCCACTGAGCCACCCCGGCACCCTACTTTATGAAATTTTAAATAGTCTACAGTAAAATAATACTGTACCTCTTCTCATTTGAAAGGAAGCCCCTTAATCTTTGACAGCATAGCAGACAGGGACTGGGGGAGTGGAGTTTGGGAGTAAAAGAATTAGATGTTTTGCTCAAGACAAGTTTCCTGGCTTCAGCGTTTCCTTCTGTTCATTTCATTGGCCTTTTTCTTTGCCTGGACCATCATAAGGTAGCATGTGGACTTGGGAAAAACCAGAGGACCTGGGAATTAATAGTGGGGAGAAAATAAGTCCTTGGGGTTCACGTGTAGGTTATTAAATCAAGTTCTTTCAAATTGCAACCTTCCTATTGCCTTTGACCATTTATGTTCCATGTTATACATTTTTGTGCCTAAGTTATAAAAGTGCCTATTCTTACTGTTTTTCTTCTTTTCTCCTTTTTTTTCTTTTTAAAATTTTATTTATTTGACAGAAATTGAGAGAAAGAGAGAGAGCACAAGCAGGGGGAGCGGCAGGCAGAGGGAGAGAAGCAGGCTCTCCGCTGAGCAAGGAGCCGGATGCGGGACTCGATCCGAAGACCTGGGATCATGACCTGAGCCGAAGGCAGACGCTTGACCAACTGAGCCACTCATGTGGTCCTTTTGCTTATTTGTTTTGTGACTAGATCTCAAAGTATGCTATTACCTATTTCATGGCTCATATCTTTACAGCGTATTTCATCATTTATTAAAATTAAATGCAATGCCAAAATAAAAGAATAATTACCAAGTTACACACAATGAGAATTTATACACTATCCGTCTCATTAATTTACTAAATTAACATGAGATTATTTCTCCCACAGTCTTGCCAAGGCTGGATACCTTTTTTTTTGGCAATGATGGGTATAAATACCATGCATGGATAAGTATATGTATAAATAGAGATATAGATTATATAAATTTCTCTGAATAATTAGGACACATTGAATATTATATATATATTTATTAACAATTTGATTTCTTTCTTACATGAGCTGTCTATTCACAATTTATTAATTCTTTTCTTCTTTCTTTCTTTCTTTCTTTCTTTTTTCTTTCTTTCCTTCTTTCCTCCTTCCCTTCCTCCCTACCTTTCTCTCTTTCTTTATTTCCACTGATATTTAGTGCTTCCTTGTATTTGTGGAATAGCAATTTGTGATCTGCTATGTGGGTTACCAATGTAGCAACCAACCCTGTCACTTGCCTTTGAAATATTTTTCTATTACAGGTTAGGTTTTTAAAATAGTAGCTATTACAAACTTTTCTTTTATGGTTTTGGGTTTTTAGCTTCCTTAAGAATGCCAAAGGAGGAGATTGGTGGAGGGCTTTTAACATTATGTGTAGAGCTTAAATTCTCAAAATTTATTATGGGTGTAATTAAACTTTAATTCATTTACTCTTGGGAAAAAAAATATTTCCTTCGAATTTTCAACTACTTTGTAGTTTTGATGTTTACATTCGTGTTTTGCATAAGAGAGAGAGCTATGTTCTATTTCCCAATTGGAAAGCTGATAATTGCAATTCACTGTTTCTAGTAGTTCACTATTTTCACACAGATTTTAAATGTCAGCATTATCATATATTAAATGTTTACACATCTGCTTTAGCAAATTCTGCTTTGCCCCAGGGACTCATTTGTCTCTCCATGTCCCATACTGCTGGGCCTCCCATGATGTGAGGGCAGAGGCCAGGGCTAAGTGTATGTGCCAACTTGACTGGGTGATAGGGCCCCCAGATATTGGGTTAAAATCTCTTTCTGTGTGTGTCTGTGAGGATGTTTCTGGATGCACATAACATTTGAAATGATAGACTGCATAAAGCAGATGGCCTTCATCAATGTGAAGGGGCCTCAATCAGTCCTCGGAACACTGGGATAGAACAAAGTCTGAGTAAGAAAGATTTCTCTGTCTGTCTGTCTGTGTCTCCCCCCCTCCACCCCCCCGCCCAGGGACATTCATCTTCTGACTTCAGACTTGGACTGGAACTTAACACTCAGCTCTCCTGGCTCTGCAGCTTGCCAACTGTAGATCTTGGGACTTCTCAGGCCCCATAATCATATGAGCCAATTCTTCTTATTTTTTTTTTAAGATTTATTTATTTATTTTAGAGACAGAGACAGAGAGAGCACGAGTGGGAGGGGCAGAGTGAGAGGGAGAGAGAATCTCAAGCAGACTCCGAGCTGACTGTAGAGTCCTATGGGGGGTTCAAATCTCAGGATCCTGAGATCATGACCTGAGCGGAAACCGAGAGTCAGATGCTTAAGATACTGTACCACCCAGGTGCCCCAAGCCAACTCTTTATAATTAGTCAACCTGCCTCTCTCTCTCTCTCTCTCTCTCTCTCTCGTCTGTCTCCACAGGTGAGTGCAAATGCACACACACACACACACACACACTCTCACACTGTTTCTGATTCTTAGAAGAACCCTGTCTAATACACACCTTAACTCCTTTGCTTCCTCCCTCTTGATTAAATTCTTTTGAACTGTATTAGTTAATAGAATATTGGTTAAAATATAATGCTTAAAACCAATTGTAGACTCAATCCTCATTTGTATCTTAGTTCAGGTAAAATGAAATCTAAAGATTAATGAATCACTTTTTCTGGTTTCCCATTTTGTTTGAAGAACCCAACCCTGAAACTCTGATACACTTGATATTTCTCTCATAATTCTACTACATTCTCCAAGTCTTTCCCTTTTCCCCCTTGGAGAATTCTGTTTCGCATGCTCAGCGGTTTTGTCAAACCTCAGATATTTCCCTCCTGCCCTCTCTCACACAGACTTGCTTTGTACTTCCCTGGTAGAGTTGAAGACAGAGAACTGATGGTCCCCTGGGGTACCAGGCCCCCCTGCCTGGCCCATTCCACACCACAGCCCTTGCCCCCAGCCGCTGCCGCGATCGAAGATCAAGTGTCTGAGAGCCACCCCACCTTCCACAAGCACTTAGCCGTCCATCCCTCCTGATCCTCCCAAAGATCCCTTTACAGCTGAACATATTCCTTATGCTTTCCTAAAATAAAATTTCAGAACAAAGTAAAACTACCTCCCACCTTCTCACTTGCCTGCTCTACTTTATGACAGAATATCTACCACATGGCTTCCCCAGACCCTGCCTCCACATCCACTCCTTCTAATGTCTTCCAAATTAATTCAGGCTTTACCTCCAACACTCTAAAAGGATTCCTCTTTTCGAAGTCAGTGATGGAATATCTCAACTTTTCAGTGGCAGCCAACGTGGGTGATAAATTCCACCTTCTAAAGCTCTCCCCTCAATGTCCCTGCTGCTTCTGACTTATCTCCCACCTCCGTACTCTGGGGCTGTGTTTTCCCAGGCTTCTCTTTCCCTTTCCTTTCTTTTGCCCTTTAAACATCAGAGCATGATAGGGTTCATCCTTTGCCTTCTTCTCTGGGTTTTCTGCTTGGCGAATCCACATAGCCCTGGCTTTAAGCATCATGTGTATCAGTGGGCTTATGTGTTCATGACTTCTACATTTATTTCTCTGATTTCAAACTCTCCACTGAGTCTCATGTTTTCAACCGCGCAGGTGACAATTTCACTGGGATAACGAATGCATTGAGGAAACATGACTAACTTATAACCTTTGATATCTCCAATTATGTTCCCTATTGATGTTTCCCATCTCAATAAATGTCACTGTCACCATGCAATTTTTGGAACCAATAAGCTAAGACTCCTGGATTCTTCTACTTTCCTAATGCTATCATCTATTGCATTAGGAAGCCCCAAAACATCTACCTTCAAGATACACCCCAAATTCACGTGCACCTTTAACCTACATCGCTTCTCCTTCAGACCAATCTGCCCTCCTCTGGCGCTTGAAACACAACATTGGGCTCCTATTGTTTCTATTTCAGTTGCTGATTTTGGATAATACACTCTTCACACATTTTAAAACACATCAACCTGATTAGTCTTTCCTCTGCTTAAAACCTATGGTTCTTAGAATAAAACTCAAATTCTTCCATGGCCCCAGTGCTTTATATTATGTCATCATTGTCTGCGTCACTAACCTCATGTTATGTTCTCTCTCATCACTCTAGCTTTACTGGGCTTCTCTTTGGGCCTCAAATAAATAAAAGTGATTACCATTGCAGGGTCTTTGCCCTTGCTCTTGATAGTCTGGAAACATTTTCCTTTTACTTTTATATAAAAAGGCCTTTATAAAATATTAATATCATTTTTAATGAGATCAAATATTTATACAAACTGGGCAAATAGGGAAGGTGGGGAAAGAAGAATGCCTTCCAGTAAAGAAGGGGAAAAGGCAGGAAGGAGTGGGCAAGCAGGAGGAGGCAAGGGGTTTAACATCAACAATCTTCAGTGTGGGCTCTCCAGAGTAAGGACAGGCAGGTCTGGGGTATGCAGTAGTACTGTGTCAGGTAGAGTATGGGGTGAGCAAGATGAGAATAAATATAAAGGTTTGAGTTTCAGGAGGCAGGTAACAGGGCCCTGACTCTTGGGAGCCAAAGGGGCCAGCAGGCTGGGGAGAGACCCTCCTGGTGCGGTTCCTATGCCCTGTAGGAAGGTGGGAGGCCCCTGGAGTGCTGCATCTTCTCCAAGCTCTGCAGCTGAGGATCTGGGCCCTGGGCTGACACCGCCCCTGCAGTGGGGTGGGTAGCAGACAGTGAAGGCTGGGCATCAGGCTCGAGGTCAGCGTCCTCCCTGCAGACACTGTAGCTCCAGGAGTGAAAGCTTTTGATTAGAGGCCCTGGTCTGGGCACAAAGGAAGGGACCACACCATTTCTGATCAGGGGCTTAAAGGCAGATGGCCTGGGCTCTGGGTTCTGCCTTCTGCTTGTGCTCTCTGGGATCTCAAACCACAGGGGCCCGTCAAACTTCCTGTTCCCCTTCTGGCACTGGCTGAGAGCCCTCAGCACGGTCTCCTTGGCACAAGGGTCTGGGCGCTCCTCCACTAGTGGATGCCCTGCAGAGCAGGCGCCATGCCCCTGTGCCTGGGACACCCACGGGTTCCCTCTGCTCTCAGGGGGTGCGATCCTGACCGTCACAGGGCTCCAGATCCGTCTCGGGTGGCGGGCACTCCAAACCCACCGCTTCATGTAACTCTCCCAGGCGCCAGAGAGATCCGGCCCCAGGACTGTCTCAGCAGGTGGCTTGGCGGGAAAGCGCCTCCATGCCTCAGTGACCACCCTCCGCTGCCTGGCGGGGTCCCAGTTGGGCGGCATCTGCGGGAGGGGTCCCGAGCGGATGCGGTGCCCACCGTCCTCGGCCTGGGCAGGCCTGGGCCGCGGGTTCCCGCGCCTTTGGGCGAGGGGTGGCGGCTCGGCCTTGGGTGTGCTCAGGTAGTTGCCCATGGGAGCGGGCGTCAGGGAGGGGGTTTTCTAGTGGGGATTTGGCTTCCAGAAGTTCCCAATGTCGCCGGACGCAGCTACAGCCAAAGCGCCCAGGGCTCGGATGACCGTTGGCATCTGGGTGCACGGAAAGTGCGTGGGCCTGGGTCCTGGAACCCTCCACAACCCCTGGGCGCGTGAGGCTGGCAGAGGGGACTCGGGAGAAGTCTGCAAGCGCAGCTGCAGCCTGACTGTGCACGGTTATCTGGAGGTGATAGCCTCCAGTCTCTGTTCTTCCCGCTGCTGATAGCAAGAGTTTGGCTGTGGAGAGAGGGCTAGGACCTCACCATCTCCACTCCCCAATCCCCAACATCTTTACTGCAATATCATTCACATACCATACAGTTCACCCAAAGAATACAGTTCTATGGCTTTCAGCATGTTCGCAGATAGGTACACCCATCACCACAGTCAACTTGAGAACATCCATGCTTCAAAGAGAAAGCCTGGATGCTATGACTATCACCCTCCCATCCACCTCCCCTTCCCCCAGCCCTAAACAACCACTAACTCATTTTCTCTCCAGATATAGATTTCTCTATTGTGGGCTTTCATATAAAAGGGATTATGTAATATGTAGTCTTTTGCAACTGGCTTCTTTTGCTTAGCATACTGTGTTTTCAACATCCATCCATGCAGTAGCAGGTCACAACTTTTCACTCTTTTTATGATCCAGCAATATTCCATTGCACAGATAGACCACATGTTGTTTATCCTTTGCCAGTTAATGGACATTAGGGTTGTTTCTACTCTTCTGATATTATGAATAATGTTATGAACATTCATGTATAAAAGTTTATGTGGACAAATGTTTTCATTTCTCTTGGATGTATAGCTAGGGTAGAATTGCTAGGCCATACCTTAACTGTTTAAGTTTTTTTTTTTTTAAGATTTATTTATTTGAGAGACAGCACATACTAGCGGGGGTGGAGGGGCACAGGGAGAGGGAGAGAGAATCCTCAAGCAGACTCCATGCTGAGCAGGGAGCCCTACTTGGGGCTAGATCTCATGACCCTGAGATCATGACCTCAGCCAAAATCAAAAGTCCCAGGCTTAACCTACTGAGCCACTCAGGTGCTCCTTAACTGTTTAACTCTTTGAGAAATTACCAAACTATTTTCCCCAGTGTCTGTACAAGTCTACATCTCCACCAGCAGAGTTGTCTCCATTTTGGGACTTGACTTTAGAGGGAGAAGGTATACTAATTCTTGCAGTTCATAAAAATTACAGATCGGGTATTGACAGATGGCCATTCTCTTTCATTATCGTAAAAACCAAACATAATTCACTTGAATGCTCTTTTAAGGAAAACTAAATAACAAGTTTTTGTTTTCGTAAATGTGATGTATGTTTTATTCTTCTAGAATGGTTGTTAATGTTACTTTCTGCAATTTGCCTCTTAAGGAAATGGTGACAGATCATGATTTATGTTTTAGCCCCAACAACATTGGTTTTATACATTGTCCTATAATTTAGGCTTCGTACATTCATATATATATTTTATTCTTTTTGAATGTTAATGTGATTTCTCTTTTTTTCCATTTTTACTGGTAATCCATGTTTACACATTAGCAGCTCATGTTTAACTAACAGTTAAAAAACATCTGACTATAAAAACAATGTCTGAAGATTACTACATACTAAATTATATATATATATATATATATATATATAGATATATATATATATATATAGTGATGGAGTTTGGAGGTCTGTTGAAGGTGGTATAAAGCAAACTATTTTCCAGAATGTTTTCCTCAAAAGCACTTGCACAAAGTGCCTGCTGAGCTAGCCAGTAAAGGTACAGAAAGTAGAGTCTGGCAAAGTAAGTACCAAACTGAAGAGCAAGCAGCAGGTGCATTCTGGATCTGAGAGGCAAACAGGTGAATGTTGAGGACATTAAAAGGAGCTTACTGAAGGCTTCATAATGCTTCTGCAGTTCGGAAAGAAGTCACTTGTTGGAGAGGTAGGCGTGCCATCAGCCAAGGGGTACTGGAGGATGAGATCCATAACACTTCCCAATCACTAATTCATTTTCATTTCTTCCACATTCCTAATTTATTAATGATCCCACAGAATATGATTTTGAAAACAAGAACTTCCTATGCTATAATTTTCTTCTTTTTTTTAAGATTTTATTTATTTATTTGAGCGAGAGAGAATGAGAGATAGAGAGCATGAGAGGGAAGAGGGTCAGAGGGAGAAACAGACTCCCCGCTGAGCAGGGAGCCCGATGTGGGACTCGATCCCGGGACTCCAGGATCATGACCTGAGCCGAAGGCAGTCGCTTAACCAACTGAGCCAGCCAGGCACCCTATAATTTTCTTCTTAATAAGACATTTCTTGAGAATGATAGCAATGACTTTTATATCTAAGAAGCCTCTTAAGACAATGATATCATTATCATCAGAATGGATCATTAATGCAATTGAATACCAATTTCTTAAAGTGTATTTCAATCCCTAGAATTGACAGAGTTTCTTCCCACATCCTATTTGCAGTGCAATCCAATGTGTGTCATTTTGGTTTGTGGTTAAACACTCTTCCAAAAACCACAGTCTCCCTGCTGGTGAGGTACAGCCAGCCAGAACTGAATCACCTCTAAATGCATCTTCACCAGTAAATCAACATGTTTCTTGATTAAAAGTTATTTGCATAGACATTGAATATGTCTGCTTCCTTTCCTTCTCACCCACAAGGAGATAGCAGATTTCTTTTGGTTAGTTGACGTTAGTAATTAACGTAAATCAGTGATTTCCAATTAGAGGCAGCTTCTTTGCCTTCTAACCCCTGTCCCAGGGACATTAGAGAAAGTAGGTTGGGGATAAGGGGCAAAGGCCAGGGATGTTGCTAAACATCCTCTGGTGCACAAGACAGGCCCCACAGCAGAGAATGATCTGGCCACAGATGTTGGCCCTGGAGGGACCGAGAAACCCTCAGTAGTTCCCTCATCTTCCCTTAATGTTATGAAGTTATGTCACTATGGTAAGTTTCTCAAAACTATGGAAATTAACTTCAGTTCGATGCTGTGAAACCCCATTCTCCATTTGAATTTTACCAATTGTTCCTTTTCTTTTTCAGGAACTAGTCCTTTAGAGTCTGTTCTAATCTATGAGAGTTTATCCATCTTTCCTCATTTTCCATGACCTTGAACACTTCAGAAGAATACTGACCAGGTATTTTTTAGAAATGCTCAATTTTTTTTAGCAACTTAATCCTTTTATATTTACCTTTAATTAAATTGTATATTCAGGAGCTTGAAGCTCTAAACCATTCTAGAATTCTTATTGAAAACATTGCATACACACACACACACACACACACACACTTCGTCCCACTTTTTTTTCTCACAGAAATGTGGTTTCATAGGTCTCCATTTCTTTTTTTCGTTTTTTTTTTTTCCCCTGAGTGCTGCTACAAATATGGCAGTTTTTGTTGCTGTGCCTGTGAACCTGAGCTTGGTGATCTTTACATTTATTTCATGCTGGTAGAGCTGACCACTTTGTTATACTCAGTACCTTGGGGCCAAATTTGGATCACAGATTTCATTTCTTTGGTTTTATTGTTTGCTTGCACACTATCAAGTAATCTTTTTTTTTAAATAACTTCATTGAGATATAACTTATATACCATGCAATTCACTCATGCACAATTCACTGGCTCTTAGTACATTCATAAATATGGGAGTTTTAATATTTCACAGATATGGGAATTTAATTTTTATTTTAAGTTTTAATTAAATGTTTTTTTTTTAAGATTTATTCATTCATTTTAAAGGGGGGAGGGCAGAGGAAGAGGGAGAGGGAGAATTCTCAAGAAAAGTCCCACTGAGCAAGGAGCCCGACCCAGGGTTCAGTCTCAAGACACTGAGATCATGACCTGAGCCGAAATCAGGAGTTGGCCACTCAACTGACTGAGCCGCCCAGGCACCCCAAATTTTAATATTTTCATTACCTCAAAGCAAACACTTACCCTTTACCTATCACCCCTTACCCTCCCACCTCTCAGCTCTAAGCAACCGCAAATCTACTTTCTCTATATATAGAGTCCCATATTGTGTGATTACAGATAAATGGAATGGTATAACATGTGGTCTTTTGTGACTAACTTCTTTCCCTTAGCATAATATATTCAAGGTTATCTGTGCTGTAGCATGTATCAGCACTTTATTCTTTCTTATGACCCAACACTATTCCATTGTGTGGATAGACCACATTATGTTTATCTTTTTGCTAGTTGGTGGACATTTAGGTTGTTTCCACCTTTATTCTATTAAGAATAATGTGCTCTGAACATTTATATATAAAATTCTGTATAGGGAAATGATTTCATTTATCCTTGGTGTATATCTAGGAATCGACTTTTCTCAGTCATTTGAAAATTGTATATTTAATCATTTGAGAAACTGCCACATACTTTTGTGAAATGGCTGCACTACTTTATAGCCCTATCAGCAGCATCTGAGGGTCCCAATGCCTCCCTGTCTTCTCCAGCACTGATTATTATCTCACTTTTCCATTCCAGCCATTGTGGTTTGTGTGAAGTGGTATACCATTAGTTTAGTTCATGTGTCTTTTAGAAAATATTTTTAACATCTACATTCTGATTAGTTACAGTATTATAATGATTTTATGGCTTGTGGTTCTCAAACATGAGTGTGCAGCATCAGAATCACCAGGACATGCTAAACAGAGATTGTTGATCTCACCCCCAATAATTCTGTACAGGTTCCAACAATTTACATTTGTTAGAAATCTTCCCAGTTGATGCAATGACACCTGCCCTGGGACCACACTTTGAAATTACTGCTATAGGCTTAATTGTGAGTGTGTATGGTTTTAGGATCTAATGTTTATTGCAGTTATACCAATTTAAGTTAGATATTGAAGGCAAAGGAGACTATCATCTGATATCTAAATTATGCCGAGTATCATTTTCCTCACTTGGGAAGAATGTGTATTTTTTAAGGAGCACTTCTGAAAATGTAATGGTCATTAAGATCATCTGGAGTTGTTAAAATGTAGATTTTGATTCAGTAGATCTGAGGTGAGGCTTATAAATCTGC